ATTTGTTTTTCTGTGGCCCAGTAGACTCTCCTGTTGAGGAGTCGGAATTGAAGACATAAAGAGGCCATGACTCCCTTACCTTATTTTGAGGACTCCCTCTTCTTTTCCATTTAATTCAGCACATTTTAAATTACATGACCACTTAAATTTTGCTCTAATCTTTTCTACAATGCTAATAACTTAGTAGGGGTTGCATTCAGTAAGGGCAAAGGATATTTACCTTGAACAGTATTATAAGTAAGACTTGTGTTTCAAAACTGACATTGCCTATCCTTTGCTTAAATATTTTATTTTTTAAAAAAAGACAATCCATGGCCGGGCGCAGTGGCTCATGCCTGTAATCCCAGCACTTTGGGAGGCCAAGGCAGGAGGATCACCTGAGGTCAGGAGTTCGAGACCAGCCTGGCCTATATGGCGAAACCCTGTGTCTAATAAAAATACAAAATTAGCCAGGCATGGTGGCACATACCTGTAATCCCAGCTACTTGGGAGGCTGAGGCAGGAGAATCACTTGAACCTGGGAGGCAGAGGTTGCTGTGAGCCGAGATTGCTCCATTGCACTCTAGCCTGGGCAACAAGAGCAAAACTCTTGACTCCAAAAAGACAATCCAAAGCAGTGGTATACAATATAAGAATTCTAAAGGGTATATAGTGAAAATTGAGTCTCTCAATTAGGGGATTCCTCAGCCCTTAATTTCCCTTATCAGATGAAATTTCTTGAATATTTTCAAGAGATGCATATACAATTATTATGTTTACCTAAATAGTGGCAGACTACATAAGTTCTACATCCTGCCTTTTATTAAACTTAGCAATTTATCAAGATACATAACTGCTATCTGATTTTTTCTTACTGACTTGAGGATATGAAGGCTGTTCCGATTGCTTTATCATGATGATAGATTTCTCAGCCCAATCACCAGGTGAGCCTACAGGAACCTTAATAATGAGCATCCTGGCTGAAGTAGCATTTTAACAAGTATTTGTTGAATTCCCCACATCATGCTGGTATGTGGGGGAGCCTGTGAATGACATGGACCAAAGACAGATGAACAGGAGAAAGGCATCCATATTGTATTGATCTTAGTATTTTATTTTATTTTTTTTTTTTTTGGGACAGAGTTTCGCTCTTGTTACCCAGGCTGGAGTGCAATGGCACGATCTCGGCTCACCGCAACCTCCGCCTCCTGGGTTCAGGCAATTCTCCTGCCTCAGCCTCCTGAGTACCTGGGATTACAGGCACGCGCCACCATGCCCAGCTAATTTTTTGTATTTTTAGTAGAGACGGGGTTTCACCGTGTTGACCAGGATGGTCTCGATCTCTTGACCTCGTGATCCACCTGCCTTGGCCTCCCAAAGTGCTGGGATTACAGGCTTGAGCCACCACGCCTGGCCCGATCTTAGTATTTTTAATGTGCATGGAGTGTACAAGAAAGAGGTGAAAACCCAAAGAATCAGGCTCAGATGCTTGTAAACCATTTGTAACAAAGGGTGATAAATTGTGGGCAGGTGCCGGGAGTATGTGTGGTGCTGTTCGAGAGAGATACATATATGTATATTTCATTTCCCCCTAATACTGTGATTCTATTTCCCAATTGAAAGAAACCCACACCTCACAATCCCCTCACTGATGCAAACGACAGGCAGAGGATGTCGTGGGTTTGGAGGGTGTGAAAGGAAAATAAATCTTGGGTCCCCAAATTACTAAGCTAAAAGGAAAAGTGAAGCTGGGAACTGCTTAGGACGAACCTGCCCCCTATTCTATTCAGTCATCCCTCTGCTCACTGAGATACATGTGTATCTGATGGCCTCTTTTGGAGAGACTAATCAGGAACTCAGAAGAATGCAACCATTTGTCTAGTATCTACCTGTGACCTGGAAGGCCCCCCTGACCTCCAGTCGTCCCGCCTTTCTGGATGGAACCAATGTTGATCTTACATATGATTGATGTCTCACGTCTCCCTAAAATGTGTCAAACCAAGCTGTGGATAACCGCCATATAGGCACCGAGAAATGAGAGCTAAGCAGAACTCGTGGCACAGTCAGGGCTTGAGGATGTGCTCAGACCACCTTGGGCACGTGGCTGTGTCATGGGCGTGCGTCCTTAACTTTGGCAAAATAAACTTCCTAAATTGATATCAGTCTGAGATATTCGGGTTTCACAAAGGTAATTCACTTATTCAGCCAGTGTGCATGGCCAGCTGGTACCTGTCAGCACACCATTGTGTGTGTGAGTGACGAGAGACCACGGAAGAAACGCTCCACTGAGTGAGCCCAGGGAAAGCCAGCCGTCTACACCCTACAGGGTCCTGTGAGCACGTCTCTACTGGTGCAGAAACAAGAAACTGGAAATAAAAGACACAAGACGCCGAGAGAGAGAAAAGAGTTTGGGCCCAGGGGTCCACTGTCAACTAAAGCGCAGAGTCTGGCAGTGGCCCCGAGTGCCTGGACGCTCTGACTTTATTGAATACAAAGCAGGGGGCCGGGTAGGTAGAGTGAGGTAATGGTGGTCAGTGATAGGGCCAGGTAAATCGTGTCTTGGAGATCGGGGCCCAGGTCTTTCAAGTAGCAGAGGCCAGGAGAACCTAATGCATCGGCACTTTTTCATACTTGTCAAGAAAGAACAAAGACATTGAGATTTGTGTTACTGATTACATCTTTTAAGAAAAGGAGATACCAGGGGCAGAAGCGGAACATGAAAGCAGCCATGGAGCATGATGGCTGAGGCACAGCACCCCATAGAGACAGTGAGGCCCCTGGTGTCTGCGGGCCCCTGACAGCCGCAGGCCCACGGCAAGAGCTTGGAGAAGCGGAGTTTTCTCCCCACTCTGAGGAAGGGGACGTCTTGGACGTTTTGGACGGCTCCTTCGGTAGCTGGCTAAACAGTGGGCACTTTCCCAGCACTGGCGCTGCCACACAGCTGAGACACCCTCCAGTAGCCCTTATGTGGGCATGACAGAGGGCTTAGAGCATCCTGCCTTAGGGTCACTTTGTTCACAACGTCACCTCAGTTCCATGCTTAACCCAATAGTCATTAATAAGATTAAAAGATTATACTGAGTATATATTTCTGTGATTACATATGAATAACTGTGATTATTTATGATTATATATAGCAATAACTATGTAACTATCTCTAAATCTTTTCTAGTTCTGTATTCACACGGGAACAGGTTGAGGCTTCAGACCCTTGCCTCGGCACTTGCAGGGTCTCCCACGGGGTCTCCCACCCACGCTGTCAGAGGCTTTTAAACCAGAGTGACTCCATCTTTTATAGAGTCTGGCTAAAATAAGGCTGAGACCTACCGGGCTGCATTCTCAGGAGGTGAGGCATTCCAAGTCACAGGATGTGATAGGAGGTCGGCACCAGGTACAGATCATAAAGACCTTGCTGATGAACCAGCATGGGGTGAAGAGGCCGGCAGAATCCCACTAAAATCAAGATGGTGACCAGGCAGTGGTCAACACGACTGCTTATTATATGCTAATTATAATACATTAGCATGTTAAGAGATACTCCTACCAGCGCCACGGCAGTTACAGATGCCGAGGCAACATCACAGCTACCCTATATGGTCCAAGAAGGGGAGGAACCCCTGGTTCTGGGAACTGCCCATTCCTTTTCTGGGAAATGCATGAATATTCCACCCATTATTTAGCATATAATCAAGAAATAGCCCTAAAAATGGGCAGCCTGCAGCCTTGGGACAGTCTGCCTACGAAGTAGCCATTTTTTTTCTTTTCTTTTTTGAGACGGAGTTTCACTCTTGCTGGTGGGATCTCGGCTCACCGCAACCTCTGCCTCCCGGGTTCCAGCAATTCTCCTGCCTCAGTCTCCTGAGTAGCTGGGACTACAGGCATGCACCACCACGCCCAGCTAATTTTTGTATTTTTAGTAAGGACGGGGTTTCATCGTGTTGACCAGGATGATCTCGATCTCCTGACCTCGTGATCCGCCCACCTAGGCCTCCCAAAATGCTGGGATTACAGGCGTGAGCCCCTGCACCTGGCCTATTCCTTTACTTTCTTAAGAAACTTGCTTCCAGTTTATGGATTTGCCCTGTAGTCCTTCTTGCCCAAGATCCAAAACCCTCTCTTGGGGTCTGGATCAGGACCTGTTGCTGGTAACAAAACCACTGGGGGTGGCGGCAAGACCCAGCCTGCCCCACCCCCGCCCAGGGGACCCGACCCTCCAGTCGGTCCCTCCAAACCTGACGCCCCAGGACTGAGATGCCCCTCCCTGGACCCTCACCCTGATGCTGACTGTCCACTAGAGGCCTTGGGGCTGGCTGCTCCCCGGGACCCCCCTTCAAGCTCCATCAACCACACTGGCCCCTGCTGCCTCACTCCCACCCCCGCCCCCACTCCAGCCCCACCAACCGCCTCTCCATTCCCTACCCCAACCCTCCGGCCTGAGGCTCACCTGCCCTCCTGCAGCCCCAACCCCGGGTTGAGAAGCCTCTTCAAGTCCCACTCCCCACCCGGGCGCGCCTGCCCGTCCGCCCCTTGCCCCGCCAGCTGTCCCCACTCCACTCCCCGCCTCCCCACCCGCTACACTCCTTTCACCTTCCCGAAGAGTCCCACCCCAGGCCAGTGACACTCCAGTCCTCTCTGGCTGCGGACATCATCTTCCCCGCCGCCCAGCGACCTCCCCGCTGCGCCCGCCCCGGGCCGGTCCAGATCCTCCCACCCGCTGCCGCCTTCCTTCCTTCCCCCCGCCAGCCACTCCCAACCTCTCCTAAGAGACGCCCCCCGCCCCTACCCTGGCCCCCGCTGACGCCACAAAGCCCCTCGGCCGCCTGCTCCTGCGCCCGGGCCGGGGCCCCCTGGACTTCGTGGGCAGACGCAGCCTTTCCCCGCCGCGAGCGCTCTGCTGGCTGCGCCTAGCGCGGTGCGGACCCCTCCGCGTGAGTGCCGGTCCGTGGGCCTGGGCCAAGGCCTGAGCCCGACCCGGTCCTCCCGCCCTCCAACGCCCACCTGCCCGCCTCCGCCGAGTCCCTGGAGACGGTTCCAGGTGGGAACCCAGGGCCCAGTGCCAGCGCGCGGGACCGGGGAACTCTCCCGGGGCCCTAGCGGACCAGAGCGGGAAGGTCGCCGCAGCCCAGGCCCCGCTTCGGTCCGGGTGGGCCGGGCTGCCTCCCTTAGGGCTCCTGGGGCTAGGGGGGCTGGCGCCGGCGGGTGCAGAAAGCTCCGAGAAAATGGACGTGGGACGCGGCCGGGGACTTCGGAGACCTGTGGACGCCCTCGCTTTAGGGAATGGCAGAACGGAAGGCGGGATCGTGCTTGCAGTGTAGACGCGATTTTCAAATCCCTCTGCGCCTCCGTCCCCATAGCAACCCCGCGGCGTAGGCGGAAGGCCGCGGATCTCCACTGCGCTGGGCCGCAAGAGCTCAGACTGCAGGGGCGTCTGTGTAAGTTTTGCTATGACGCTCGCGTGCCCGCGTGTGCGCGCGCATGTGTACCTGTGTGTACACGCATGCATATGTACAGGTCTGTGCATCTGGGCCTGTGCGTGCTGTGTTTGTGCGTGTGCATTTATGTGTGGTGTGTATGCGTGGGTGGGCGTGTTTGTGTGTGCCTGGGCACGTTTGCATACACGCGTGGGTATGTATGAGTATGGGTGTGTATGTTCGTCTGTGCGTGTATGCACCTGTGTTTGTGTATTTGTGTGTTTGTGCGTGTGGGCACGTATAGACGCGTGCGGTTTTCCGAGCGGCACCTCACTACCGAATGGAAGAGAGCTTTTTTCCTCTGATAGCCTATCCCCTTTTTCCTTTGGTTTTCCGAATTTTGTTAAAGAAAAAGCTCTTCTGACACTTGTTGAAAGGCTCAAAGATCACTGGGGAGGATAGGAGAATGGGAGTGGGGGCCTGGGTGGGGTCGGTGGGTGGAAAGCGATTAAGGGAAGGCTCCAAGCTAGGGGCTTCTCCAGAAAGGCAGGTTGGAGGCTTAGCAGGCAAAGGTGGGGGAGGAAGAGCTGCTGAGGTGTGGAGCTGGGGTGGCCAGCAGCAGGCATAAGAGGACGGCAGGGTCCAGGCCCAGTGGACAGGAGGGACGGAGGGGCCTGGCCAGCAATGGTCAGGGAGGGTCTGTGTCTGTTATTGACGAGGCTAAAAATGACGGCTCTGGACCCTCTAACTGGACCGCAGTCCTAGCCCTCCTCTGTAAAGGGAGGCTGCACAGGAAGGTTGCACACTGCCGGCGCCCGGAGCATAGGGCCGCTCCCTGACACCTCTCTCCAGAGTCCCTCAACTCGGGAACCCGCCTCGTGTCTCCCAGGAGCCATGGAGGCTGTGGAACTCGCCAGAAAGCTGCGGGAGGAAGCCACGTGCTCCATCTGCCTGGACTACTTCACTGACCCTGTGATGACCGCCTGCGGCCACAACTTCTGCCGAGCCTGCATCCAGCTGAGCTGGGAGAAGGCGCAGGGCAAGAAGGGGAGGCGGAAGCGGAAGGGCGCCTTCCCCTGCCCCGAGTGCAGAGAGATGTCCCCGCAGAGGAACCTGCGGCCCAATCGGCTGCTGACCAAGGTGGCCGAGATGGCGCGGCAGCATCCTGGCCTGCAGAAGCGGGACCTGTGCCAAGAGCACCAGGAGCCCCTCAAGCTTTTCTGCCAGGAGGACCAGAGCCCCATCTGCGTGGTGTGCAGGGAGTCCCGGGAGCACCGACTGCACCGCGTGCTGCCTGCCGAGGAGGCGGTGCAGGGGTACAAGGTGGGTGACATCGGGGTGGGGTCGGGCTGGGGAGGAGGCGTCCAGGGGACAAGGTAGCCCAGGTCATGGGGGAGGGAGAAGGTGTCCAGGGACAAAGTAGCTCAAGTCAGGGGCCGGGGAGGAGGTGTCTGGGGGACAAGGTGGCCCAGGTCTGGGGTTGAGGAGGGGTGTCCACGGGGAGAAGGTGGACCTACGCTGTATGATGCAGGCATCGGAAAATCGGACCTCTGTGGGTAACACCCCCAGGGGCACCGACGAAGAACTGTCCAGACCCAGGCACAATTAGTGCCTGAAGAATAGCTTAGTTTATAGTGTCATTGCTCAGCTGTTTCCTTTATATAATCCTGCATATATAATCATATATGACTTTATAGAATTAGTGCTTGAAGTGTAAGTTACTGCTTACATATATCTAGCATATTTAGTTCTATATAATCTTTCTATATAATCATACGGGTATTGTAGTCGGAGCTGTACTGACACATTTAATGCTGATTTATATAATCCTATATAATCTTATAGTAGTTTGTAGTAGGAGGAATGCCTAGACCAGTCACAGAACAGAAGCAGTACATGGGAAAACAGCCAGACCAGGATGAGAACCAAAGATCCAGGCCATGGCGTCCCTGTCTGAAAGGGCATACGCTGTATGGCAGGCTTGGAGCAAGAGCCTCTCCTCCTGATAAAGGAGTTGTAGCACCTTGCATCCAGTTCCTGTGGAAAGTCGGTCTCGGGCCTGAGATCCTGGAAGTAACCAAGGGAGAAGAACCCCTCTGGTGTGAAGAGCACAAGTCTGTCAGCTCCCACTGCATTAAGCTTACAGTATCTTTCTATTACAAACCCTTTGAAGTCTCCAGCCCACAGATAAGAAGTGTTGCCAACAATAATGGGGTGGTCCCCTCGCTTGTGACTCATGTGATTATATATGCCCTATCACTAAGCCTATAGATGATGACCTCACTCACGACCCTGCCCCCTGCTTGTACTTAATAAATACAGATGCTCTGGGGCATTGGGGGGCCGCCGCTGATCTCCACTCACAGGTGGTGTGGTCCCCCGAGTCCAGATGCTCTTCACCAGTTCTTCAGTGTCCTGTCTCTTTACCTCTTGGATCCTGCATCTCAACACAGCATAAGGGACACCCCACGACCCTGAGGGGCCCCCACAGCCCTACAGACCTCTACTCTCTTAGAGTATTCTGGGTGGCCCTGAGAACTAAACTGATTTGAGGCGGATGAGCAGAACCAACAGACTGAAATTCATTCACCATAGGCTTCTCATGACCGGGGAGTTCCTCCTGAGGATCTGGAGGCTCATGGAGGCCTGTTAGAGCCAAACACGTAGCTGAGGATGAGGTTAGCTTAGCAGGGTCCCTCTGCACAGATTCCTCTGGTTTCCGCTTCCTGGCCCTGGTGAGAACGTGGCTTTCCTCTTGGCCTAGGGCAGGCCTCTCCGGCACGGTGGGCTGTGCCTCTGGCTCTTAGGAAGGCTGAGGGTCAGAGCGATTCTTGCACCTGCCCTTTTTTAAGTGCCTTTAGCTCAAAATAATCCAAGGCAGCACATTCTGGGTGATGTATTTTGATGCCCTGCCCCTCCTGAGGAGGCTCTTTAGCGGGGGTGCAGTTTCAGTCAGCACAGTTGGACTCTGGGCGGGAGGTGGTGGGATTGCTGACCCCAAATCCTGCGGTTTGTGTCCTGCAGTTGAAGCTGGAGGAGAACATGGAGTACCTGCGGGAGGAGATCACCAGGACGGGGAAGCTGCAGGCCAGGGAGGAGCAGAGTTTAGCCAAGTGGCAGGTGGGTGCCCGGGGCCGTCCCGTCCCTTTTCTGCTGCTGCTCCATCTTCCTGCATTTACACGTCTGTGTCTGTCCGTGGGGATATGCTGCCTCAGCGGCAGGGGAAGAAGAAAGTTTCCTCTACCCTTCTAGGTTCCATGGCTGGGCCCTGAATGAAACTGACTTAAGACAGATGAACAGCAGAGAAAAAGATTAAAAGGCAATTTTAGCCGGGTGCAGTGGCCCACACTTGTAATCCCAGCACTTTGGGAGGCCAAGGCGGGCGGATCACGAGGTCAGGAGATCAAGACCATCCTGGCTAACACGGTGAACCCCCGTCTCTACTAAAAATGCAAAAAATTAGCCGGGCATGGTGGCTCGAGCCTGTAGTCCCAGCTACTCAGGAGGCTGAGGCAGGAGAATCACTTGAACCCGGGAGGCAGAGGTTGCAGTGAGCTGAGATTGCATCACTGCACTCCAGCCTGGGTGACAGAGCGAGACTCCGTCCCAAAAAGAAAAAAAAAAAAGGGCAATTTTAAATTACAGATGCACTCATAGGCTAGAGAGAAGGGACCTCAAAAATGAGACTCAAAGAGGCAGGCAGTGGGTGAAGGCTCAGTACCACAAAGGTGGCGGCCAGAGGCAGGGGGTGTAGGTTGGCCCCACAAAGGAATAGGGCTTGGGGCCTCTGGGCTGGGGAGGCAGGTGATGTTGGTTAAGTATGCAGGCAAGTGCCTCAGGTGAAAAGAGTTGTTTTTGGAATGTTCTTCCTGGCATAGATTCCTTCACCACTGGAAATTTCCTTCATGAAAGAGCACTTTATTTTTATTCTTCTAATTTTTTTTTTTTTTTTAATTTGAGATGGAGTTTCGCTTTTGTTGCCCAGGCTGGAGTGCAATAGTGTGATCTCAGCTCACTGCAACCTCAGCCTCCTGGATTCAAGCAATTCTCCTGCCTTAGCCTCCCAAGCAGCTGGGACTACAGGCACCCACCACCATATCCAGCTAACTTTTGTATTTTTAGTAGAGATAGAGTTTCACTATTGTTGGTCAGGCTGGTCTTGAACTCCTGACCTCAGGGGATCTGCCTGCCTTGGCCTCCCAAAGTGCTGGGATGACTGGTGTGAGCCCCTGCCCCCGGCCAGGCACTTTATTTTTTTAAGGCAGCTAATGGGAGAGGCAAACAGGTTTTCCTGCTTCTGCGGGTTCTCAATGGCCTTTAGTTCACCCTAATTTTGTTATTTTTTGTTTCTTTCTTGAGTCTTGAGTCTTCTTGCTCTGTGGCCCAGGCTGGAGTGCAGTGATGTGATCATAGCTCACTGCAGCCTCAAACTCCTGGACTCAAGCGATCCTCCTGCCTCAACCTCCTGAGTAGCTGGGACTACAGGCATTTGCTACCACGACCGGCTAATTTTTTTTTTTTTTTTTGTAGAAACACAGGGTCTTGCTATGTTGCTCAGGCTGCCCTCGAGCTCATGAGCTCAAACCGTCTTCCCACATCAGCCTCCCAAAGCACTGGGATTACAGAGCGAGACCCTGTCTCAAAACAAAACAAAAAAACAACCATCCATAAATGTTGTTTAACATGCCCAAGAGGCTTATTTCGGGGTGGACATTCTGAACCTCCGCAGAGCAAGGGTGCATGTGTGTTTGGATGTGTGGAAGTTGCAGTTTGGGGCTCAGAGGGTTACACTCAGTGACAGGGTACTGGGGGTGGGGGTCTCTGTCACAGTTCCTGGTCCCCAACTAAAGCTCCAGTCGCTGGTGATCTGTGGGTCGCCGGGGCCCTGGGGACAGGTGCCAGCATTCCTGGGACCAAGCCATCTGCTGGTGACCCGCTGGGCTTCTCCACTCCTGCAGGGCAAGGTGAAGGAACGGAGAGAACGCATTCTGCTGGAGTTTGAGAAGATGAACCTCTACCTGGCAGAGGAAGAGCAGAGGCTCCTCCGGGCTCTAGAGAGGGAGGAGGAGGAGACCACCAGCAGGCTCCAGGACACCGTGGCCTGCCTGGACCGGCAGGGCCATTCCCTGGAGCTGCTGCTACTGCAGCTGGAGGAGCGGAGTGCACAGGGGCCCCTCCAGATGCTGCAGGTGAGCTGGTGGGCTTCGCAGCTGGGGTGGGATGTGAGCTTGGACAGGCATGGGCAGGAGGCACTGGACTTGGGGAAGAGGCAGCAGACAGGGAAAGGCTGTTAGCTCCCAGTCCTGGAGGCTGGGTGGCTGATGCCAAGGTGGGCAGGGCTGGTCCCTCCTGAACCTCTCTCCTGGGCCTGAAGACGCCAACTCCTCCCGTGTCCTCACAGCGTCACCCTGTCCATGATGATGCCAGTTAGACTGAATTAACTTCAACCTTAACCTGCTCCTTAAAGAAACTATCACCAAACACAGTCACATTCTGAGGTCCTGTGGGTTCGGGCTTCAGCCTGTGAATTTGTGGGGACACAAGTCAGCCCCTAACAGGTTCCAACCTGAGACAGTGTCCCCATTTCCTTCCAAGTCCAGAGAGGTGGCCTGGGACACCTTGCAGCCAGGTGCAGCTTTGGGACAGGGACTCCGTGTCTCGGTGTGTGGGAGGCGCACTGTCCCAGGAGTGAGTCTCGTGGCAGCACCTGATTGCAATGGCAGCGGGGAGGTGACCAGGCCAGCCTGCCATGGCCTTGGAGAGGAGACTTGATTATGGCTGACAAAACCCATCTCTATCAAAATTTACAAATACAAGCAGGGCATGCGTGTGCCTGTACTCCCAGGACTCAGGAGGCTGAGGCAGGAAGATCTCAAGCCTGTGGGCTCACGGCCACAGTGAGCTATTTGGCCACTGCACTCCAGCGGGGGCGATGGTGAGATCACATCTCAAAAAAAAAAAAACAAAAAGGAAAGCAAAGCTGCCTGTTCACAACCCACTGCGTTCGTTTGCAGCCCCACTGAGGGGAGGAGCCCCAGCAGCTGGGAGAAGGGTGCTCATGGGAGTGGGGGGCCACCCACACCACCTGCATGGGAGTCCCTGCCAAGAGCTAGGGTCCCTCCCTAGACTCTAGAAAAGTGGCCTTTGGAGAACAGAAGTCCCTTGTAGCTTCCAGGCCAGAGAAGTGAACAGTGATCTCTTCAGGGAACTCTGAATCCCTAAAGAGGCTACAGAAAATCCCCAGGTGGCTCAGTCTGTTACCCGCCCCCCTCCCTTCCCAAACTGCACCCCCACCCCATTCCTGCTGGGTGGGCTGCACCCACCTGAAATGGGACTGAAGGGTCAGTGTTGAGTGGCCACTTGCCCAGAAGGGCTCCCTCTGCCTCTGCTGAGCCGAAGGACCTCAGGTGTCTGACCGTGGGCTGACAGTGTAGCTCAGCTTCGCTGAGGCACTGGGAGCTCTGGTGGGAGTGGGAGCCGAGGCAGTGGGGACAGCTCAGGAGTGCTGTGAGGTCATCTGCAGGAAGGAATGCCCAGGGGACAGGACGGGTCTTGCCCTAAGACATGGACAAGAAGGGGGTGGGGACACTGAGGTGAGCCAGGAGCTTGGCCCACTCCCCGCCTCCATCCTTGTCTTTTGCAGGACATGAAGGAACCCCTGAGCAGGTATGTGGTCCCCGCAGGTGGGGGCGGCGGCAGTGGTGGGGAGGTGGGGGGACAATGAGACGGTGGGGCAGGGGGACAGTAAGACTGTGCCCACTGGAGGAAGAACAGTGTGAGTGTGCAGTGCCCAGAGGTCGCCCTCCCCACCGGACCCAGGACTTTATGCAGGGTTCCCGGACAGATCGAAGTGCTCAGAGGCTTCCTAGGTAAGTGGGCACCCAGGGCCGGGACCCCTGACCCAGGATCTCTTGGCAACACCCCACTGTACCCCCTAGCCTTGGAAGCCACCAATGGGGGGTCTGCGAGTGCACTGCCTGTTGACAGTCATGGGTTAGTCACTGTGTCCTCAAAGGGCAGCAATACTGGGGATTTTAATTCTGGGATGAAGCTTGAGTGACCTCCCCATCTGGGCCCTGGTTCCTCATTGCCCCCAATATCCACACACATTTCAGGTGTGGGAGCATCAGGTAACCCCAGATTCATGGCAGGAGAGACCTCTAGGGAGTTTGGGGACCATTTGGCCACATGCACCTCTAGGGCCCAGGCGCTCCCACCTTTGACCCTGATCTCTCTGCGGCTATGCCCATCTACAGAGGAGGTGGTACCGGACCCCACCTCTGCATACCCCTACCTCCTCCTGTACGAGGGCCGTCAGAGGTGCTACCTGGGCTCTCCGCCAGAGGAAAGCGGCTTCTGCAGCAAAGACAGATTCGTGGCTTACCCCTGTGCTGTGGGCCAGGCCACCTTCTCCTCGGGGAGGCACTACTGGGAGGTGGGCATGAACATCACTGGGGACGCGCTGTGGGCCCTGGGTGTGTGCAGAGACAACGTGAGCCGGAAAGACAGGGTCACCAAGTGCCCCGAAAACGGCTTCTGGGTGGTGCAGCTGTCCAAGGGGACCAAGTACTTGCCTGCCATGTCCACCCCCACCCCCACCCCTGTCATGCTGACGGAGCCTCCCAGCCACATGGGCATCTTCCTGGACTTCGAGGCTGGGGAGGTGTCGTTCTACAGTGTGAGCGATGGGTCCCACCTGCACACCTACTCCCAGGCCGCCTTCCCGGGCCCCCTGCAGCCTTTCTTCTGCCTGGGGGCGCCGAAGTCTGGTCAGATGGTCATCTCCACAGTGACCATGTGGGTGAAGGAATAGATACCAGGCCGGGGGACTCGGGCACTGCCCCCGGCTCTGCAGAAGGTGGGGGCCTTCTGCTCACTGCAGGCCACCTGCCAGGGTTCTCTGGCATCACGCTGGCAGCCATTAGCCACGCAGGGGGGTTCTCAAAGTCTATAACCATGATTAAAACCGTCAAACATTAAGAGGCTGTATTGCCAGATGCTTCCTAGAGGAAACTCGAAAGCCCCCTCATTCTGAGTGGACTGACTTCTAAATCCATACCTGCACAGCAGGAACACGTGGTTTTCTTCAGCCGTGCCCCCACCCTCACTTTGGAATGACACGAATCCGTGGCTCCCGCCCCCACCCCCCCCCAGCGCTTTAGGTTACTCGGTCAAAGAAGCAGAAATACCCTACGCATCCTATTGTGGCGTGGGGGGTGGTGGTGGTTAGTTGCTCTGCCAGGGATAGTCCCAGGCTGCCCGCGGAAATGTCCCATGCATCCTATTGGGTCCCTCGAAGGGGGAAAATGCGAAAGGCCGAACCCCTAAAAAGCCTCGGAGCTGCCCACCCCCATCCCGTTCGACCCCCAAAGTTGCACGAGCAGATGCAAAATCCCAAAGAGGTTAGGTTTTATCTAGGGGCCTCCTTTCCACAGCGCCCTTCCCTTTTCCAAGGACCCCCACCCACCCCTGCAGCCTCAAGCACTTTAACAGCCCGAGTCAGTCACCAGCGCGGCAGAATTCCGGAGTCTGCGCCACGGACTGCCGGAAACAACGCGCCCCTTTGGAGTGGTGGTCGCAGAGAGAATGTGCGCCTCTTGCAGAGCTGGGCCTGGAGGGTCAGTCCGGTCCCATCCCCCAACTCCGGTGATTCTGACCTTGGCCTGCGGACGCTGTGGGCCGGGCCTTCCCGAGGATGCCCGCCCTGGGACGCACGCGGGGTAGGCCGAGAGGCTCCACTGCCCCAGGCTGCGGGTTCCCTGAGTCCCTGCAGTTGCTACCGTGTGTCCGGCTCTCTGCCCATCCCTCCGAGCCTCGCCCCTGCCCCACCTCTCCCCGGTAACCCATTCCGTGCGCCCCCGCCCTCCCCTGCGCCCCGCCCTCTTCCCCCATGCCTACCCTGCGTCCCGTCCCCTGCCCTCATCCCTCCCCTGCGTCCCCCACGTTCCCATCCTTCCTCCTCGCCCGCCCCC